TTTGAGTCGACTCAAGAGGAGACTTTTGAGTCAACTCAAGAGGAGGCTTGTGAGTCGACTCAAGAGGTGGCTTTTGAGTCGACTCAAGAGGAGACTTTTGAGTCGACTCAAAAGGAGACTTTTGAGTCGACTCAAGAGGTGACTTTTGAGTCGACTCAAGAGGTGACTTTTGAGTCGACTCAAGAGGAGCGAGCAGAGTGAGTAGCCTTGCTGTGCTGTGCCTGGTTCTGAAGCATAACATGCATTGACTGAAGAAGCACGTACGTTGGATAGTGCAACTGCTTGAAGAGACTTCAAAGTGGGATGCCGTGTTTCTGAAATCACTTGGGGATTAAATGAACACGAGTATTTGAGAAACAAGAGAGGAAGGAGGCAACGATTCAGTCAGCTATACATACCACTGTGCTGTGCTGTGCACACCCGCTGTCTGGATCCTTCCCTGTATGTGCAACCCCCCATGCAGGTGGGATGCCATGTTCGCAGAGGCACGAGTGGTGGAACATGCCTCGAGGGGCCTCACCCTGTGTTTCTGATCTCTCTCTCTCTCTCTCTCTCTCTCTCTCTCTCTCTCTCTCTCTCTCTCTCTCTCTCTCTCTCTCTCTCTCTCTCTCTCTCTCTCTCTCTCTCTCTCTCTATCTCTCTGTGTGTGTGTGTGTGTGTGTGTGTGCGCAGGTGGGACGCCATGTTTGCAGAGGCACGAGTGGTGGAGGCCATTGATGGTCACACAGACGTGGTGCATATGTGCTTGAAACGAACCTCGCTGTAAGGGGAATGTGGCTGTGATGGTGCATATGTGCTTGAAACGGACCTCGCTGTAAGGGGAATGGGGGTGTGTTGTGATGCACGTGCGATATCACTGTAAGAGGCATGGTGATGTGGTGTATATGTGCAGGTGTGGTGGTGCACGCATGCTTAAAACAGACGTGATTGTAAGGAGCGGCACATGCATGCACATGTACGTGTAGAGGTTGCATTTGCATACATCGTGTTCGCAACTATGACTCTTTGTAAGCCTTGCTGTCACTGGCCAGCTCTTGATTCCGGTGATATCTAATTCTTCTTTTTTTACTCTCCCTTTTTTTTGTTTCCATCCTCCTTCTACGATTTCTCTTTGCTGCTCAGCTGGACGAGGTCGAGGGATCTGTGTCTGCTGCGATACTGGAAGAGAGAAGAGAACGGAACCTACCGTATGTACGTCTGGCCCTACCCCCCGTGACTGTACGTCTGGTCCTATTACTCCATGCCTTGTGTGGTACATCAAACCCACTGCGCCGCCTGCTAATGAATTTCCGTCATGACTGCCTCAAGTTCCTTTGTTGCCCGTTGACCTCTCCCCTCCCTTCCCTTCGCCCTGGTTGGCACATTCTCTCCTCCCCCGCTGCTCCCCTTCAAGCCGTCGTCACGTCGCGTGTGCTGCTTCTCCTGCTTTCTGATGCTCCTCCACCAGTGGTGTTCGTCAAGTCTGTCATGCCATGTCATGTCATGTCATGCCATGCCAACCACCCCAAGTGGTTGGTTTCAGAAGTCTCATTCCTGATTCCCGTTTCGCAATTCTGCAATCCTCATTTTTGAGTCGACTCTTGAGTCGACTTTTGAGTCGACTCACAAGTCAGCTGGTTTCAGAAGTCTCATTCCTGATTCCCGTTTCGTAATTCTGCACTCCTCATCCCAAACTCCCCTCCCCACCACCAGTCGTCTTCTTCAAGTCTGTCAGCCACCCCAAGTGCCATCGGCCATGGGGCCGTGTCCGTGCTCTCATCTACAGTGAGTGACCTGCCCTGCCTGTAAAATCCTCCCATCCATCCATGTGTAGCATAGGCTGCATAGCTCATTGGTTTGCCACACATTCTCCTGGCGGTGAGTCGGTGACTACTTGGTATCGCCTCTGCAGCACAGCTCATAAGATTCCATCAAAGAGTAACCTAATCTCGTACGATCCTCCCTTTCCACCTGTTCCCCACCGCTCTCCACCCATCCGCACCGCACCAGGCGGCGGCTACATCATATCCCCTCTGCAGCATAGCGACAGCCCGCTTTCCCCCCAGCCTTGCACCTGTGGTGCCCCACCACCCCCCCGCAAGCCTCGCTCGCAGGTGACCCTTCTCACTCTCCTTTTTCCTCTCATTGAACGCGGAGAGTATGGTATGTGAGGTGAATGTGACCTTTGATGTATCCCAGCTGCGCCGCGCAAGCCCTTTCCCCCCAGCCTTGCACCTGCGGGGCCCCACCACCCCCCCGCAAGCCGCGCTCACAGGTGACCCGTCGCCGTCTCCTCCTTCCTTCCTGCACCTCTTACTCTGTCCTCTGCCATGCTGAGGCGCTTCAAAAACTCCCCGCTCTTCTTCCCACTGCTCCTATTCCGCTGCCTCGCTTGCATAGCCCCACCCAACTCTTTGTGCCAACACCGCTCATTTCGACACTGATTGTTGAGTTGACTTAGAAGAGTTTAACCTTGAGTTGACTTAGAAGAGTTTAACCTTGAGTTGACTTAGAAGAGTTTAACCTTGAGTTGACTTAGAAGAGTTTAACCTTGAGTTGACTTAGAAGAGTTTAACCTTGAGTTGACTTAGAAGAGTTTAACCTTGAGTTGACTTAGAAGAGTTTAACCTTGAGTTGACTTAGAAGAGTTTAACCTTGAGTTGACTTAGAAGAGTTTAACCTTGAGTTGACTTAGAAGAGTTTAACCTTGAGTTGACTTAGAAGAGTTTAACCTTGAGTTGACTTAGAAGAGTTTAACCTTGAGTTGACTTAGAAGAGTTTAACCTTGAGTTGACTTAGAAGAGTTTAACCTTGAGTTGACTTAGAAGAGTTTAACCTTGAGTTGACTTAGAAGAGTTTAACCTTGAGTTGACTTAGAAGAGTTTAACCTTGAGTTGACTTAGAAGAGTTTAACCTTGAGTTGACTTAGAAGAGTTTAACCTTGAGTTGACTTAGAAGAGTTTAACCTTGAGTTGACTTAGACGAGTTTAACCTTGAGTTGACTTAGAAGAGTTTAACCTTGAGTTGACTTAGAAGAGTTCAACCTTGAGTTGACTTAGAAGAGTTTAACCTTGAGTTGACTTAGAAGAGTTTAACCTTGAGTTGACTTAGAAGAGTTTAACCTTGAGTTGACTTAGACGAGTTTAACCTTGAGTTGACTTAGAAGAGTTCAACCTTGAGTTGACTTAGACGAGTTTAACCTTGAGTTGACTTAGAAGAGTTTAACCTTGAGTTGACTTAGAAGAGTTTAACCTTGAGTTGACTTAGAAGAGTTTAACCTTGAGTTGACTTAGAAGAGTTTAACCTTGAGTTGACTTAGAAGAGTTTAACCTTGAGTTGACTTAGAAGAGTTTAACCTTGAGTTGACTTAGAAGAGTTTAACCTTGAGTTGACTTAGAAGAGTTTAACCTTGAGTTGACTTAGAAGAGTTTAACCTTGAGTTGACTTAGAAGAGTTTAACCTTGAGTTGACTTAGAAGAGTTTAACCTTGAGTTGACTTAGAAGAGTTTAACCTTGAGTTGACTTAGAAGAGTTTAACCTTGAGTTGACTTAGACGAGTTTAACCTTGAGTTGACTTAGAAGAGTTTAACCTTGAGTTGACTTAGAAGAGTTCAACCTTGAGTTGACTTAGAAGAGTTTAACCTTGAGTTGACTTAGAAGAGTTTAACCTTGAGTTGACTTAGAAGAGTTCAACCTTGAGTTGACTTAGACGAGTTTAACCTTGAGTTGACTTAGAAGAGTTTAACCTTGAGTTGACTTAGAAGAGTTTAACCTTGAGTTGACTTAGAAGAGTTCAACCTTGAGTTGACTTAGAAGAGTTTAACCTTGAGTTGACTTAGAAGAGTTCAACCTTGAGTTGACTTAGAAGAGTTCAACCTTGAGTTGACTTAGAAGAGTTTAACCTTGAGTTGACTTAGAAGAGTTCAACCTTGAGTTGACTTAGACGAGTTTAACCTTGAGTTGACTTAGAAGAGTTCAACCTTGAGTTGACTTAGAAGAGTTTAACCTTGAGTTGACTTAGAAGAGTTCAACCTTGAGTTGACTTAGAAGAGTTCAACCTTGAGTTGACTTAGAAGAGTTTAACCTTGAGTTGACTTAGAAGAGTTCAACCTTGAGTTGACTTAGACGAGTTTAACCTTGAGTTGACTTAGAAGAGTTCAACCTTGAGTTGACTTAGAAGAGTTTAACCTTGAGTTGACTTAGAAGAGTTCAACCTTGAGTTGACTTAGACGAGTTTAACCTTGAGTTGACTTAGAAGAGTTTAACCTTGAGTTGACTTAGAAGAGTTCAACCTTGAGTTGACTTAGACGAGTTTAACCTTGAGTTGACTTAGAAGAGTTTAACCTTGAGTTGACTTAGAAGAGTTCAACCTTGAGTTGACTTAGACGAGTTTAACCTTGAGTTGACTTAGAAGAGTTTAACCTTGAGTTGACTTAGAAGAGTTCAACCTTGAGTTGACTTAGACGAGTTTAACCTTGAGTTGACTTAGAAGAGTTTAACCTTGAGTTGACTTAGAAGAGTTCAACCTTGAGTTGACTTAGACGAGTTTAACCTTGAGTTGACTTAGAAGAGTTTAACCTTGAGTTGACTTAGAAGAGTTTAACCACTGCCTATGTATCCCCTCTTGCCCCCCACCTCAACCGTACCCACCTTTTATCCTCTGCCTTCCGTCTGCCCCCAACCCTCCGTCTGCCCCCAACCCTCCGTCTGCCCCCAAACCTCCGTCTGCCCCATGCTACTACCCATTTCCCATTACCCAACACCCTCCAGGTGGAGCACGTGTTGGAGATGGACGTATCAGGGTGGTCGTCATGGATGGGTTGACTGAGATGACCTTGGGAGAAGTGCCACTGCTCATTCTCCCCGTGTGACTCTCCCTCCCAACCCCCAGGGGTGGAGCATGTGTTGGAGATGGACGTATCAAGGTGGTCGTCATGGATTGGTTGGTTCAGGATTGATCTGGAGCCTACCCTTTGCCCTGTCTGCCCAACACCCCCAGGTGGAGCACGTATTGGAGATGGATGTATCAGGGTGATCCTCTTGGATTGATTGAGATGCGTGACCTCGTCCCCACCGCGAGTCGCGACTACTCCGCAACCCCATCGCGACTACTCCGCACCCCCTCAGGTGGAGCACGTATTGGAGATGGATGTATCAGGGTGGTCCTCTTGGATTGATTGAGATGTGTGACCTCGTCCCCACCCCGTGCCACTTCCCATATCCCCCATCGCGACTACTCCGCACCCCCTCAGGTGGAGCACGTGTTGGAGATGGATGTATCAGGGTGGTCCTCTTGGATTGGCGTCGGCCTCTCATCACATCCCGCACATCTCCGCGACTCCTTGCTGCTCAGAGTGGCCGGTACGGTGATGTCAGGCCTTATGCCATGTGCTATGTGTTATGTGTCATGCGCCATGTGCCATGTGCGGCCATGGGCCATGTGTCTCATTCCATGTGCAATATGCCATGCGTGTTTTATGTTTCCAATATCCATGTGTCCTGTGCTGTGCCTTACTCTCTCATCTATTCATCTCCCCTAACTCTCCTTTCCCCCTCATCCTTCTCTCTCCCCATTCATCTAAGACTGAGTGTACTTCGCCTGCAGGGGAGGCGTCCCCCTCCCTCCCTGGGTATGCAACGCCATCTCATCTCCCTACCCCACCCTCCCAATTCGTCCCCCTCTCCTCCTCCTCCCCTCCCACCAGGCCTGAGAGAGTACTTCGCCTGCAGGGGCGGCGCCCCTCTGGCCTACTACTCGCTGGGCATCCAGCGTCATCTCATCTTCCCCACCACCTCCGCCATCAGTAGTGTGGGTCCCACAGGCGGATTCATCTTCTCTGGCCTAGCCTCGGGCTCAGCCACGGGGTCAGGCTCGGGAGCTGGTTCGGGGACGTGGGGCCTGGCCTCGCTGGTTAGCCTCGGCACAGAGGATGGGAAGAGCCAGGAGGAGACAGGAGGAGGAGGGGGAACAGGGAGAGGAGGAGCAATAGGGGGAGTGGCAGGGGTGAGTGCAGGCGGGGGGGTGGTTGTGAGTGCAGATAGGGGATCAGCAGGCTTGGGAGGGGCAGTGGCAGCGGCTGTGGTGGCGGCGGCTGCGGCGGCGGTGGCAGCAGGGGGGAAGGGTGAGGTGGGGGGCGATGGGAAGAGAACCCCCAGGCTGGACCGAGCGCTATCCAACTTTCTAGACATGGAGGATCCGGATGAGTTCTATGAGTGCCGCACCAATGCTCCCTCAGAGACGTCTAGTGATGTGAGTGATGATTGTGCAAGCAAGGGGGGAGTGTGGAGGTGGGCAGGTGGACAGGAGAACCCCCAGGTTGGTTGGACCGAGCGCTGTCCAACTTTGTGGACATGGAGGACTCGGGTGAGTTCTATGAGTGCCGCACCAACGCGCCTTCGGAAACATCCAGTGACGTGAGTGGCATGACATGCATGGAAGGGGCAGGTGGGAGTGACATGACATGCATCCGGTGATGTGAGTGACATGACATGCATCCGGTGATATGAGTGACATGACATGCATCCAGTGATATATGAGTGACATGACATGCATGGAAGGGGCTTGACATGGAGGATTCGGGTGAGTTCTATGAGTGCCCCACCAACGCGCCTTCCGAGACGTACAGTGATGTGAGTCACAATCATGGAACGGGATGGTGCGAAAGTGGGAAGTTGGGGGGGAACGGGAGAGAACTCTCGTGTTGGACCGAGCTGCGCTGTGGTGAGGACTCTAGAAGATGAGGCATCGTGGTGGGTGGATTGAGGGCATCAAATCGTTCCACAAACAAACCCCCTTGTACCCTGGAAGAGTGGCAGGGGCACTCACAACACCTGTGCCTACTCCTCTCCCTTTGGTCCTCCATCAGGGCGTGCTACAGAGGGACCTGTCAGGAGTCATGGTGGACGGTGTAGATGTTTCCAAGCTCCCTGATGGTGAGTGGACGGTCCAGATGATGCTTCCTAGCTCCCTGGCGAGTGTATGGCCCAGATGCTTGCAAATTCTTGCCGTCTTTCTGATGCTGCTTTTCTCGTTGTCTCCTTAACCAATCAGAGCAAGCTGCATGGGTCCCTACCCCACACCCACCCTCTTCTCCTCTGTCTCCCCGCCCCGCTCGCCCTGCTGCAGATTTTTCGTCCATGCCTCGAGACCTGACACCAGACTCCCTCTCTCTGCCTCTCTTCATCGACTGGAGCAAGCTGAGCGGGTCTGTGGCCCCCCAACCACTCTCATCTCCTCTGCTCCCCCTTCCACTTCCCCTCTCATTTCCCTGCTCCAGATTGGTCCTCCGTCCCTCGGGATCTGACACCAGACTCCCTCTCCCTGCCGCTCTTCATCGACTGGAGCAAGCTGAGCGCCTCCCTGGCCCCCAACCACCCGCTTCTCCTGTCCCCCCTCCCCGCTCCCCCCTCTACTCCCCCTACCCCAGATTGGTCCTCCGTTCCTAGGGACCTCACTCTTGACTCCCTCTCCCTCCCTCTCTTCATCGACTGGGCCAAGCTGGCCGGTTCAGTGGCCCCCAATCACCCACGTCTCCTCTGTCTCCCCTCCCACTTCCCCTCTTGCAGACTGGTTGTCGGTCCCTCGGGAAGTGACCCCTGACTCCCTCTCCCTGCCGCTCTTCATCGACTGGAGCAAGCTGAGCGGCTCTGTCGCCCCCAACCACTCCGGCAAGGGCAGGAACTGCTGGAGCCGGCCAGACTGCAATGTGTACAAGCTGAGGAGCAGGAGCTACCTCACAGATGGCAGCATGGTGGGTGGATTCACGTGGGTCTGGATGCAAGAATGGTAGGGCATGTAGGTGGGCAAGGGCAGGAACTGCTGGAGCCGGCCGGACTGCAATGTGTACAAGCTGAGGAGCAGGAGCTACCTCACAGATGGCAGCATGGTGGGTGGATTCACGTGGGTCTGGATGCAAGAATGGTAGGGCATGTAGGTGGGCAAGGGCAGGAACTGCTGGAGCCGGCCGGACTGCAATGTGTACAAGCTGAGGAGCAGGAGCTACCTCACAGATGGCAGCATGGTGGGTGGATTCACGAGGGTCTGGATGCAAGAATGGTAGGGCATGTAGGTGGGCAAGGGCAGGAACTGCTGGAGCCGGCCGGACTGCAATGTGTACAAGCTGAGGAGCAGGAGCTATCTAACTGATGGCAGCATGGTGGGTGGATGCGTGCTTGATGGTGGGATGGGCCTTAGATGGGGTAGTGGTGATAAGATGCCCGGCGGATGGCAAGGGTAACAATTGCTGGAGCCGGCCGGGCTGCAATGTGTACAAGCTGAGGGGCAGGAGCTATCTGACTGTCGGGAGCATGGTGGGTGTGTGTGTGTGGGGGGGGGGCTTGACGAGGGTGTTGGGATGGGCCTTAGCACGATGGAATGTGGTGTTCATTGGGTGGTTGGATGGCCAAGAGAACGAAAGCAGGACAAGATCCAACCAGGCTGCGACGTGTACACGCTGATGAGCAGTAGCTACCTGAGTGTGTATGTATGTATATATGTCTGCATGCATGCATGTATGTATGTATGTATGTATGTATGTATGTATGTATGTATGTATGTATGTATGTATGTATGTATGTATGTATGTATGTATGTATGTATGTATGTATGTATGTATGTATGTATGTATGTATGTATGTATGTATGTATGAATGAATGTATATGGTTTTGGAGACCATGACATTCGAGTATGTTGCTTTGGTTTCTTTGCTTAAACCCAACCAGACCCCTTTACCTCTACATCCTGCCTCCTCTCCATGACAAATCTCCCTCCCTTCCTTCTCATCTCGCTTCTTCCTATCTCATCCTCCCGACTCTACGTGTCTGTGGTCATGAAGGCGCCAGCTGGCGAGCCGCTGTGCCAGCTGGTGGCAGTGGATTGGCTGAAGCCAGACAAACACCCTGCTGCCCACGTGGCAGCCCACAAGAAGTGCCTTGTGCAGGTGAGCAGAAAAGGTGTGATGCGATGCTGGGTGGTGCTGTGCAGTGCTGTGCTGTGCGATGCCGTGTGATGTGGTACGGTCATTTGTGGTGCAATTGGTTTGTTGTATGTGATTGTAGAGAGGCCTTCAGCAAGAAGTGCCTTATGTAGGTGAGTAAAGGGAATGTAGTGCAGTGCTGTGCGGTACTATGTGGTGCTGTGCGGTGCAATGCGGTTCTTGATAGTGTAATGTTATCGGTCTGATGTACCGCTCCCCACAGCATAGTGCCCCCAGATAGATCCGAAGGTGGAGGAAGCAGAGACCATAAATACTTTAGGAGCATGGAAGGATGATAAGAATAGTCTAGTGGATTCAGTGTCCAGATGTAAGGATTCCGAGTACAAAACTCTAGTGTAAGCATGGCAGTGGTAAGTGAGAATCGCAGTAAATCTAGTATAGTTTAATCAGACCTCTAATTGTGCGTTAGTACCTTCCTGCCTTTGTCTCCCTGCCTGGGGATGTCTATGCAGAGAGTACGGGCCTGCTATGGAGACCAGGCACCGTTCTTCATTCTCATCAACCTCCAGGTACCGCTCTCCATCCCCATCAGTCTAGATGTACCGCTCTTCATCCACATCAACCGCTTTTTTTTTCAGCTTCACAGCAGAACGCCAAGTGCCTCAATTCATGCACCTTTGCTTGTGCACTATGTGCCATGTGCTTTTGTCGCTCCCCTCCTGTCAGGTTCCAGCAGGCAAGGCCGTCTACTCCATGGTCTTCTATTTCACAGCAGAGCGCCACGTGCTCGACCTGCCCTCCATGCGCCGCTTCCTGGGGGCAGATGATTCGTACCGCAACAACCGCCTCTCCCTGCTGCCCTCCGTTCCAGAGGTAAGGACCTCGTGTCGTATTAGTGGTTGTCCCCTCCCCACCACGTGCTCGACCTGCCCTCCATGCGCCGGTTCCTGGGGGCAGACGATTCTTACCGCAACAACCGCCTCTCCCTGCTGCCCTCCGTGCCCGAGGTAAGAACTTGTGTCGGTAAGAACTTGTGTCGGGAACTGTTTTCGTGTGCTCGCCCTTCCTTTAGTCCATCAATCTCCTGTCCTCCCGTCCTCCCGTCCTCCCCCTCGCCCTTCCCCCCTGGCACTACCCATTCATAAGGCTTGTGGTTGGTGGAGCAGGCAGTGGGGTTGCACAACGTGGTGATGGGGCAGGTGATGGAGACGACAGGGATTTCCGTTCCCAAAATGCCCTGTAACGCCGCCCACCTGTCCTACAACCCCATACCCCCCCCCCCCCCCGTCCCCATGATAGGGCTCGTGGCTGGTGAAGCAGGCAGTGGGGTTGCACAACGTGGTGATGGGGCAGGTGATGGAGACGGCATACCATACCCTCCCTGGTGGTCCTTGGTAACACTCCTCACTTCCCACTTCCACTCGTCACCATCCCCCCCCCCCACCTCTCCCTTCCTGCCCCCCCATAACAGGGCTCGTGGCTGGTGAAGCAGGCAGTGGGGTCGCACAATGTGGTGATGGGGCAGGTGATGGAGACGGCATATCACCACTCCACAGACGAGTACTTTGAGGTGCGTGCATCGATCAGTGTTGTGGGTGGTTGTGTTCCGCTACAGTGTACCTGAGTGTGATGCGACAGGTGATGGAGACGGCTTACCACTCCACAGGTGAGTACTTTGAGGTGTGTATGACCTGTACAGACGGTACAGACGGTACAGACGGTGCAGACGGTACAGACGGTGCAGACGGTACAGACGGTGCAGACGGTACAGACGGTGCAGATGGTGCAGATGGTGCAGATGGTGCAGACGGTGCAGAAGGAGTAGCGTTGAGAAGCATGAATATGTCAGTACTGGAAAGAGGGAGAAAGAAAGAAAGTTCAAATGTTGTTACATGCGTGTTACCTCTCCTGTTCTCCCCGAACCCCTTCAGGTGGATGTGAACATGGCATCATCATCGGTGGTGCGAGGCATCATGGGCATGGTCTTTGGATACATCACAAACCTTGTGGTTGACATGGCATTCTATCTCAAGGTGTGATTCTCTCCGTTTTAAGCTGACTCACAATCATGGGCATGGTCTTTGGATACATCACAAACCTTGTGGTTGACATGGCATTCTATCTCAAGGTGTGATTTTCTCCGTTTTAAGCTGACTCACAATCATGGGCATGGTCTTTGGATACATCACAAACCTTGTGGTTGACATGGCATTCTATCTCAAGGTGTGATTTTCTCCGTTTTAAGCTGACTCACAATCATGGGCATGGTCTTTGGATACATCACAAACCTTGTGGTTGACATGGCATTCTATCTCAAGGTGTGATTTTCTCCGTTTTAAGCTGACTCACAATCATGGGCATGGTCTTTGGATACATCACAAACCTGGTGGTTGACATGGCATTCTATCTCAAGGTGTGATATTCTCCGTTTTAAGCTGACTCACAATCATGGGCATGGTCTTTGGATACATCACAAACCTGGTGGTCGACATGGCATTCTATCTCAAGGTGTGATCTTCTCCGTTTTAAGCTGACTCACAATCATGGGCATGGTCTTTGGATACATCACAAACCTGGTGGTCGACATGGCATTCTATCTCAAGGTGTGAATTGTGTGTTTCTTATGGCATATTGTAACATATATTTTTTTGTAATTTATGCACTTCATATCATGCATAATACCTGGCTTTGAAATGTTTTTGCTCCGTGTTGTACGCAGGGAGAGACTGAGGACGAGTTACCAGAGCATATTCTAGGAGCAGTAAGATGCTCGTATCTAGAACTCAACTCCGCAATCCCATTCCCTTTCAGATAATCACTGCCAGTGGAGTGTAGCTTGGCTGAGCTAGCTCCCTAATGTAGCCCAAGGCCTTTTTGCTATTCGCATGGTTCTCTTCGCCTTACCATGCTCTTTGCACCTCTAAAAACGAATTGTAGGTGTCTGGACTGCTGACAGTGTACAATTCCGAGCGAATTAAAACTGGTAAAGCGAGTCTGTAATGAGAAACTGAACAAACGACTTCTCGCAATGTCGTAACATCTCAAATCGGCGCAGATCTGATGCTTCAAAGGCGTGTCAGATCGGTTCACGTGTATTGGTTTGGGTGGGGAAACGGTTAGGTTCGGTTGTGAGCGAATACGCGACTTCATAACCCACCCAACAGCTCACTCGTAACTACTGAACTGAGGAAAGTTCAGAGAATGGTGCTGGGCTCCGTCTATTCAGTCTCGCATGGTAGCTCTGTCCGTTCAACTCTTTCGTCAATCAAGCGTGGTATCCGCGTCAGGCTGTTTTCCCGCGTGCGGTTTTTGGAACCCCGGAACAGCGTCGCCTCGTAGCGGCTCTGTTCGGCTTTCTACTCGGCATTCCGACTCCGCGTTTATGGCACCGATACCGTCGATAGCATCGTCCGTTTCCTGCGCCAGATCCGCGCTGCTATTGTCTTGTGCTCCGATAAAAGCTCTCAACCCTCCTACAGCTTCCAAAACTTTTGATGCTTTCAAAGCCAAATCGTACGGTCTTGCAGCTTGCCATCAATTTCAACGGTTAAGATCGTTTCAGACGCGTTCGTCCAACCCCGTACGATCTTTTAGCAATATGCGGCCTCAGTCTTCTGCTCGGAATGCTGAAAGCCCAACGCGTAGGAATTTCCGAACCAAAGCTTCGGGGGAGACGCCTGCGTCGGAAACCGGTGGTTCGGAAGGGTCAGCCTCGATTTCCGAGCCGCGTTCACCGAGCCTCTGGGCGAAGCTCGGGCAGAGCTTCAACCTGCAAGGAGTCACGGCTGTGGCGAGCGTGGCCGTTTCGAATCCGAGTCTTGCTGTGCCGCATGTGTCCGTGCCTGATATCAGGTACGGCTAAATTCATGCTTGATATGTATCGAATAGACGTTAAATGAAGAATGTCATTATCCAGCCTTCCTATTTCGTCCTCCGTCTCATCGCATTTTTATTAAATTTAAGGTTCCTTGCTTGCCTGAAACAGGTGGGTCGACTGGAAGGCCGTTCATGCATCTGGTTTCAAGGCAGTTATGTGTTCGACACGAATAACGCGCTCGCACATCCTCCTCTTTCCATTGGCTTATACCACTCCTTGGTGCCTTCGCCCACTCTTAAACAGGTGGATTGATTGGAAGGCCCTTCATGCAGCTGAGTTCAAGGCAGTCGTGTTCGATAAGGATAACACACTCACGCTTCCGTACGAGATGCAGGTGACTCAACCTGACCTCTCTTAAGCCTTGCAGCATAACTAGGTCTTACTCGTTGCATTCATTAGTGCCCACTCTATCAAACCAATTGACAGGTCTCCAATTTGCTGGTCGCGCTCCTCCCTTCTCCCTCCCCTGTGTGTATCGTAGTACATACACGAACGTGTTCTTGATCAGCCTCTTGCTGCGTCAGCGCATCTCAGCATGTGCATGCCGCCGTTTGATGCTTCACTCATCCCCATCCATTTAAACATCCCACACACGGTTATTTTGTCGCACATTCATACCCAGAGGCACTGCCATCAAGAGGCGCCTCACAAACCGTCAGCACATCCCCATCCCCATCCCCCATCCCACATGTGGCTCGTTTAAAGCAGATGGAGAATGGGCTGGTGGCTTCCCTGGACGTGTGTAGGAAGACATTCGGATCAAAAGGCATTGCCATTCTGAGCAACTCTGCAGGTTAGTTGATGGGATGTTATAGGGATGTTAGATGGACATGTTCTTGGGGGAGGAAAGGGAAGAGACAGAGGATGGGCTGCCAATATAGGACTTTGTGCCCAAACTGGTAAGAAGAGAAGATGGTGTCAGGCTTGGGTTACCTCAGCAGAATTATGTGAATCAATCATACCTCCCGTCCCTGCTCCCATGTCTCCCCACCGTTTTTATCCCAACCTGCCCTCCAGTTTAGACTTGAAGCAGTACGACTCTGATGGCTTCTCTTATACTCTGATTTGTTTTCTTACATCAATTATTAATATCCTTATTCCCGTATTTCCCGCTCGTTAAATCTCCACCTGCCCTCCAGTTCAGGGTTGAAGCAGTATGACCCTGATGGCTCCTTGGCAGCAGCAATGGAGCAGGCCCTGGGGGTGCCTGTGATTCTTCACACGGAGAAGAAACCTGGTGGAGGAGCAGCAGAGCTGGAAACACATTTCGGATGCAGGGCAGATGAGATGGTTATGGTGAGTGACTGCCTCAGATTCCCCTAATGCCAGGAAAAAAGGATTAAAGGTTTAGTTTCTCGTGAATGTCTGAGGTGCTGCAAGGAATAAGTTGGAGGCACATTAGGATGCAGGGCCGACGACCTCCTACATGGTTGAGTAACCAGCCTGGATGGCAGCCGTATGACAGCCAGCTAGGATTTCACTTATGTTCTGTTATATCCCACTAAGCATCGGGCATACATATTTCTTTGGTAGGTTGTCACCCACTCTAATATAGAACACCTTCCCCTGTTGGCAGGTTGGAGATCGGTGTCTGACAGACATTGTGTTTGGCAACCGCAACGGGCTTCTCACCGTTTTGACGGCTCCACTTTCTCCTGGAGAAGATCCCCTAGTTGTCCGACAGGTGGGTAAATTTCTTTGTATGGTAAGACAATGGTACTGTCAGCTTCATGTATAATCAATTCTTAGCCTCTCTGTAGCGCCCTGGTCCCAGTGTATCGCCCCCGTGGTAACAAAAACGAATCCGTGACGACATCCCTGTACACTCGTTCTTTCAGGCTCGCAAATTTGAAGATGTGCTTGTGACAACCCTTCACAGACGAGGGGTTCAGGCACCTCTGCAAGCGAAGTTTAGCAGCTCTTACTCTTTTGTCCTGCCTCCTGCTTGCTGGTGAACATGTGTTTGTCGCAGCAGTCAAATCTTGTCATGCGAAGCCATGCTATCCAACAGGCACTGTAGGTCAACACAACAGGTTGTGGAGAGGTTGCAAGAAATTCCTTGTCAATCAGGAGATATGCAGCACACCACTCTTGCTGCATTCCATCCTATCAATTCTTGTGATTAAAATGATGCAGGCCTGATTCTGAGACTGATCTTGTAAAAAAATGTCATTGCCATAGGTGTCTTCACATCAGCCCTGGTACAAATGATGGTGTCCACTGGCTGAAGGAATTTGGGCTGATATTGATGACCAGGCTATACCTGGTAAAAGCATGTCTGCATGGGAGCTTAATCATAAAGGGAGTCCTATCCCTGACATTGCCTGGGCGCCCACCTTTCGGGAACAGTGGAGTTACTGTCAGTCTCAAGATGTGAGTGCCGAAGGCTTGGTTGGCTTTGTGTTTTGGCAGGTTGATTGATTTCAAAAACTATTCTGGATGTGTAACTGGGCATGTGAACTGTAGGCCCGGTCCCTTTGTATCCCTCAATTGGAAACGGAACGTTGAGGTGGAAGATGGCTCGAATAACTGGTAACGGCGTGGTAATGTTGTTTCAATCTTGAGGACATGTTAGTCATCCTGTCACTTTTTTTTGTTCTCCCCAGCTCCGGCATGCTGTGCTGCAAGAGTCAAAACATGTGATGATGTTCAGTTTTCGTGACTGACCAAACATGGGTAAGATGAAGCTTCGACAGCACCACATACCTGGTGAAAAGCATCATGATGTTGACCCTCAAACAGAGGCACGTAGGCTTAATCATCCAGGACGGATGATACACATTGCCATACAGGAAATATGGGATCAGCCTGCACAGTGCAACAACACGGAAGGTCAGAACGTGCTGCATGAAAAATGTGCTAGACACAGACAAAGGTCAGTTCCTCATACCATTTCGTCAGTAGGATTAGCAGTGGTCGTTAATTGGTCAGCGAGCACCAGCATCCGTTAGTCAGAAGCCATCATGCACCACCAGAGTCAGGAGAACCAAGTCGTCAAAAAGGACGATGCTCATAGTCGGAGCCGCTAGAAGCTCAAGACGTTTTGAAATGAAGAGCTTCACGTGTGTACAGTCCAACTACTATGCTTCACAATGAAGTACTGGGGCCCATAGTCACTGTTCGCTCCAAAACACCAACCAAACATACTTACCATGAAGTCTACCATTTAACCCCCCCAAGCGCTCCAACCCCTTGCCCCAGCCCAACGTGCAGGAGATGAAGGATGAAGAAATCATCATTCCATACAAAGAAATACAAAGTCAAAATTCTCCAGGACTACATCCATACTCGATAGGACCCTGGACATCTAAGGTGAAACGGTGAAACGCCTTCTGTAATGACACAGAAAACGGGTAATAATGTGGGGGAGTAGACCACTAAATGACGCAATTAAAAGACCTCAAACCTCCGGGACCAACCTTGAGCGTGCTAGCTTGCCACGTTATTGCTATCGTCGAGTTTTCGCTCGCTTCAGTCCCACATCACCAAAGGGTAATGGGGAACCTGAGAACAAACTGTGAGCTCCCAGGTCATCCCGAAGGGTTCCATTCAGAATGGCTAATTCACGAAGTTGTGCACGTTTGACCACATCATGAGTTTCGTCCTGAAAAAGGGGGGAGGAAGCTTAAATTACTCACCTGGTTTCACTGATGCTAACAAAAACTGAAAATTTCACGAGCACAATCACTCACCACAGGCCTGAGTAATTCTTGAAGTATTTCGCATGCTTGAGCAAGCTGCGCGTCCACAACATTCGCAGGGAGCTCCGCTTCCACGATAACATGCAGAGGCTCGTTCAAATGTTCAAATCCAGGCTTGTCTCGCATCTTCTCCTCCTGCGTCGGATGAGCGTAAAAGGGCAATCGTAGAAACACTTAGACACAGCGTGCAAAGTTCCAGAACAAGACAGCCTTAGAAAACGTTCATACCTTGCCAGCGTCTTTTATCGACCCCCGTCCGCGAATGAGAACACGACAACCTGTCTGCGCTTCAACTCGTTTCAGCGAGTTCCCTCGTGGCCCTAAGATTCTTCCGACGAAGTTAAATGTAGGGTATTTATCCACCGGAACCTCCAAACGGCTCGTCTTCTTTACGATCGGAGCAGCGCCAGGCTGAGCCGTCCAGCCTACAAGCGTCCCGGAAGCTGATGGTTGGCTCGTTGGTTGCATCAAGAAGAGAGAAGAGGATGGCTGCATATCCAGTACGGGAAGCCAAGGCTTAGTGTCAGCCACGAAAAGCTATCGTCTTGAAACGAAGTTGCTGAAAAGTCAAACTTACCCCAACCTCAGATGGCATCGGAGCCCATGTTCCGGAATCAAACGGCGATCCACTAGACGAAGGCCGAATCTGCTGGGACTGATGAGAGATATGGCCTTGATGAGTTGCATGGGACTGATGAGGTGGATGTGGAGGATGAGTGAGTGCCTGATGCGATAAATGTTGGTGAGTTATTTGCTGATGAGACGAATGTGGCTGATGTGACATTGGAGGCGAGTGCTCGATTGAATCATGGTCCATAAACACTTGCGCGCCAACGAGGGATGTGACTCGAGCAATTTCTGCAGGTCACACAAGTCGTTTAATAAGTATAATACTCGCCAAGCCAAACGAATCCGCATTCACTATGCGTAATTCATCCTACCTTGATTCATCAGGCGGCTACATATCGGCAGCACTTGCATAAAAGGGCTAAGTTTTTGCCTCTCGGACAAGAGTTCCGACAGATACCTGAGAGGGAAAAACTACGCGTGTCAGACCCACGTCCCGACCCAAATAATGAATGAAACGACAAACACACTAGATTTAACCTCAAACTGAGGCAGACGAGGGAGACTTTAAACCCTTACGAATCATGGTCGCTAAGCGCAGGTGACGACCCTCGACTAACTTGCGGCGAGACAGGAGCTGATGCATAGCCAGTCAGAAATCGACCACTCATGGTTGATTGATATATTTGCAATTAAGAGCCTCTAGAGAAACCCAACCCAGCGATGAGCTTTCTAGTCTGCTGAGACTCAGCTTCAGTGAAGTTACATCAAGCACAGAATTCCAGTTTTAGAACCTGTGCAAAGCTAGCTCAGTGCTCGGAAGTCTTGAATGTGAAACCGCCATGGCCAAGTAACTAAGTCACGTCGATGTCTCACCAAACAATGGTGTGGTGGTATGGAGAGACACGAGCCAACCTGGATTCTGGGTACGCCTGTGGCACCAAACCAGCATACAGCGGCGGAAGAACCTGAAGCCTCTCCGAGCCTATATGCGTCGCAAAGACGGCCTGGTTGGAGACCAGACTCCGTCGCACGGGCTGCCCAACGTCGGGTTTAGAGGGTTCATGCCCGTGTATCAGTGGCGGCAACGCCAGGCAAACACACGGAAAAGGAAAGTGCGAGAGTGCACGACTTGAAAGGCTAGGCACGTCCAATCCCCGTTGCCGACAGATATACTCGGTTGAAGGAACGACGGAGGGGTGCCTTTCACTAGCAGAAGGCATGAAGAAGCATGCTACTTGTCTAAACAAATATATGCAAAAAATACAGATTTATTCACCCGTAGCTCTGTTGTTTCACAAGTAAGCAGTATAATTTCTTAATAATTTAATATGAATCCTTGAAAAAATCAGATTTTTACTTGAAACCCAAGACCAAAGCAGCTGAATGGGAGGATCATATTCTCAGCATAGTCACTACGATTAGTTAATATAGAGACCATGATTACACTTCGCTTTGAGCTTAAAGAAGTGCGCGTATTGAGCACATGAGGAATACTGTAGCTGTTTTGTCTCTCTCAACCAAACGACACCGTAGGAGGTGGTCAGGTGGTTGTACGAATAACGAAAGATCCTCCTTCCCAGACTCGTCACCGTGAGTTTGGTCAGGTCAGTTTGGCAGGCCGCTCTACCGAGGCTCAGCCGCGAATACAGTACACCAGTGTACCTGGAGCCGAGGCGAACCGTGAGGTGGGCCCTGACTTGGCTCAGAATCAGGTAAGGAGAAATCTGGGGGTGCTTCGGAACCAACTTCCAGGTTCGGGGGTTCCATCCAATCAGTTCCCTAGTTCCCTCCTGCGGCCCTACACTACCGTACTGGGTGGAACAGAACTGCCCCCGATATTTTTGCTTCGCGAATACACTGGAGTCTGGAGGTAACGCCAAGTCACTGCCACCTTAGGATTTTCATAACCACTGGCAGCGAAGCGCCACTTTCCCACCGCAGCTTCGGTCGCGGGGGAATCGTCGTCTAAGCGTCGGGCAAACCCTTGTAGGAAAGAGGATTAGGAGCAGAGACGTTGGGAGGTGGTGGTGGATTGGAAGGAGGGCCCCACGCGGGCATTCCTCCTTCAATGGCTCGTAGTAGCTCCGAGTCGGCAAACCGACATGGCTGCTCGCGAAGAGTTTCTCCGCCGCGCGGAATGCTCTCAAATGCCCAGCTCGTTAAGATGACTTCGTTTGTCCTCGGAGTTTTCGCGGTTCTCGCGACCCTCGTTCCACTGACTGCTGCTCGCTCGATCGCTCTAACAGACTGTGAGTGAAACGAGAGTTCGGTTCTTGCTCCTCCTACTTCACCGCATCTCCCAGTTCTCGCGTTTCCGGACTCCGTACGATCCGCTTTCGCGTCTTCGCCTGACGATTTGCATGCGTAGGGAGGGATTGACTGTACTGCCTGCCACACCCCCAGACTTATCTAATCTCCTAATCTGCGATGTGAAGCATACTGTACAGTAGCGTGCTACGGTGTTACACTACATCCGAGGGACCGCGAGCGGCGGGGAGACTTCGTCGTAAATCCGTGTCGTATATCCGTCACGAATATCTTGCATCGCTCAGTCGCATGCCTTGCCATCCATGCGGCACCTCTCGTTCCCCACTGCCACTCTCGCGCCAATGTAACGTTTCCATCTCTTGTTCATCAGGGCGAGCGCTGCGGCGGCTGAAAGAGGGGCTGAATTTCACCAACCCGCAGCACAACCCCAAAGTGTACTATTGGCGGTGAAGAGAAGGAACAACTGCAGCATCGCCCTCTGTAACATAGGCCCACTTTTCCGTTTCCCCCTCACGCCCTTCCCGTTCCCCCATTAGGGCAAGCGCTGCTGCGGCTGAGAGAGGATTTGAATTCAACCAACCCGCAACGCGGCCCCAAGGTGTACTGTCAACGGTGACGGGAAGGGACAACTGTACTATCACCCTCCGTAACACAGTTCCACCTTTTCTTTTACCCCACGCCCTTCCCGTTCCCCCATCAGGGCAAGCGCTGCTGCAGCTGCGAGAGGATCTGAATTTCACCAACCTGCAGTGCAGCACCGAGGTGTATTGGCGGCGGTCAATGGGAGGAACAAATGTGGTAGCGTCCCCCGTTACACATTTCCGCCTTTCTTTTCCGCCCACCCCGTCTTGTTCCCCCACCAACCAGGGCAAGCGCTGCTGCGGCTGCGAGAGGATCTGAATTTCACCAACCCGCAGCGCAGCCCCAAGGTGTACTGGCGGTCAAGGGATAACTGCAACGTGGTCTTTGGCGTCTCGTGCAATGACCAGGGCCGCGTCGTTACCCTGTGAGTGAATGGGGGGTGGGGGGTGAGTGGGCCGACGCACTGCTCTATGTTTGAGGTGCCTCAGAAACAGAAGCCGCCCCAACCCAAGGTGTACTGGCGGTCGAGGGCGAACTGCAATGTCGTCTTTGGTGTCTCGTGTGATGATCAGGGCCGCGTGGTCACGCTGTGAGTGATCTTTGGGGATCTTTGTGAGTAATATGCCGAGGGAGAACTGCAGGGTGACGGCACGGCACGGCCTTGGTCGTTCAACAAGGAGGTGTACTGGCAGTCGAGAGGGAACGACCAAGGCTGTGCCGATTAAGGCCGTGCAGACCAAGGCCGTGCCGACCAGGGACCCTGGCAGAAGAACTGCAACGTCATCTTTGGCGTCTCGTGTGACGACCAGGGCCGTGCCGACACGCTGTGAGTGAGCCGTCGCGTCGCTGTTGTCGCTGTGGCGCGGCCCTGTGTTGTCAAAGGCCATGGCCTGCCGTCTAATATGTTCTACCACGTCTTGACAGAACTGCTTGCTGTTGCTCTCCCTAGCCCTCAGCACACATTCTATCACTTTCACTACCTTTCAACACCCTGATGTGCTTCGCCTTCCTTCTCTTCGCGTTTCATGACGACGTGATGTCGTGGCATGGTATGGCATGGAATGGCATGGAATGACGTGGCCTGGGATGGCATTGCATGGCATGGCCCTTTTCCTCTTCAGGTCATTGTGGGGAGTCACAGGGCCCCTGCCAGACTCGATTGCCAACCTCACTGCACTCACATCGCTGTAAGCAACCGCATTCCTGAAGCGACTCTTGAGTTGATCCAAAAGTCACCTCTCTTGAGTTGACTTAAAAGTCACCTCTCTTGTGGGGAGTCACAGGGCCCCTGCCAGACTCCATTGCCAACCTCACTGCACTCACATCGCTGTAAGCACCTCCGTGAATCCCTCACTTCGCTATAAGAGCTCACTATCTCTGAAGCGTTTAAACGTGTGTGTATGCACACTGCCTGAAGCCCTTAATTCGTGATAAACAAGCAGGCAAGCATGGGGTTGAACCGCTGAAACCTGACGGCACGCATTTGAACGGCTCTTGTGGCGGCCGTTGCATCCACCATAGCACCATCACTATTATTTCACAGCCAGGCCAGTCTTGGAAGACTCAATCAAAATGCAAGCAGCATTCCATCTCGTCTATCTCACCACCTGTCTGTCTCTTTGCTGCTTTCATACCTGTGCTGTGTGTGCCCACCAGGTGGGTGGGCTTTTGAGAATTCTCAAAAACCAACTCGTGTCTGTCTCTTTGCTGCTGTCATACCTGTGCTGTGTGTGCCTATCAGATGGGTGGGCAACAACGTTACCAGCATTCCAGCCTCCATTTCCCTGCTCAACTCAACGCTCGCTGCACTGTACGCAACCCTTCGAATTAAGTGGCATATGAACCTTACATGTGCTTGGGTGTGTAAGCAGTATCCTTGGAATAGTTTTATGTGGCCCTTTTCCTTGAAGCATTTTCTCTTCCTTAAAGATTTCTCTTTTCTTTCCGTTTGAAACTGTTTTGTTTCTCCCCAATTTCCGCCCCTGAGGCAGCTTCCTGGGCGGCAACGCTATCAGTGGGAGCTTCCCTGCTGCCATCACCAGGCTCACTGTGCTGCAGGAACTGTGAGTCTCAATCCCTCCCTCCCTCCTGCTCAGTGTCAGTGAGTCGCCATCCCTGCTTTGAGACGTCTCAAAACACCTGTCAGTCTCGATCCCTCCCTCCCTCCTGCTGCTCAGTGAGTCACCATCCCTGCTTTGAGACGTCTCAAAACACCTGTGAGTCTCGATCCCTCCCTCCTGCTGCTCAGTGAGTCACCATCCCTGCTTTGAGACGTCTCAAAACACCTGTGAGTCTCGATTCCTCCCTCCTGCTGCTCAGTGAGTCGCCATCCCTGCTTTGAGACGTCTCAAAACACCTGTGAGTCTCGATCCCTCCCTCCTGCTGCTCAGTGAGTCACCATCCCTGCTTTGAGACGTCTCAAAATACCTGTGAGTCTCGATCCCTCCCTCCTGCTCAGTGAGTTGAGTCGCCATCCATCCCTGCTTCTCCAGGACAGGGAAGGGAGCGTTGCCTCCCTGCTGCCTTGAGTTGATTTTTGAGGCGCCTCAAAAATCAACTCTTTTGACGCGCCTCAAAAGGCTTCTCCAGGACATGGCAGGGAGCGTTGCCCCCCTGCTGCCACCAACAACAAGCACCCAGACCAACCAACCGAGGGCCGTTTCCCCCTCCCCCCATCCATCCCATGCTTCCCAGGAGTCTGGCCAACAATGACCTATCAGGCCCTCTGCCCCCAGGGATTGGTCTGTTGTTGAGTCGACTCAGCACCCCGAGTGGCCCCGTGTCCCCCCCCTCCCCCATCCATCCGATGCTTCCCCAGGAGTCTGGCCGACAATGACCTATCAGGCCCTCTGCCCCCAGGGATTGGTCTGTTGTTGAGTCGACTCAGCACCCGAGTGGCCCCGTCTCCCCCCCCTCCCCCAACCCATCCGATGCTTCCCAGGAGTCTGGCCGACAATGACCTGTCAGGCCCTCTGCCCCCAGGGATCGGCAAGCTGCCCGGGCTGCAAATGCTGTGAGTGCCCCTTGCAAAGGAAACCAGAGGTATTCCCCTGCCCCCAGGGATCGGCAAGCTGCCCCAGCTGCAAATGCTGTGAGTGCCCCCTGTAGGAAAACCGGACTACTTGTTCTCTTTTCACTCCCTCTCACACACAACACGCTCACACACTTTTATATGGCTGACCCCTGGTCTCCTCCCCTGACTTCCGTCTTCCCCAGGCGCTTGGATGGGAACCATCTATCAGGCCCCATCCCCATCCACACTCTCCCCTTTCACGCACACACGCGGACGCACACATAATTCTGGCCTCTTTCCCCCCCCCGATGCCTGTCACCCCTAGGCGCTTGGATGGGAACCGTCTATCAGGCCCCATCCCCTCCCACATCGCCTCGCTCTCTGCCCTCTCCTACCTGTGAGTATCCATATCATGAATCTGCCATTGAATCTTAATGCAAGAGTCAATCACGCACGCCCCACTCCCACTCTGTCATCCCTTCCACAGCCTATCACTCCCCCCCCCCCCTCCCCCCCAAAATCCCTCTCTACCTCTCCTGTCTCCACTCTCTCTGTTTCCACTGTGCCTCATCACCCCTTTTCCCATATCGCTGCACTCTGCTCCGCTCCTGTGGCTTTCCCTTAACATCATATCATTGCCTTCCCATTATTGCCTCCCCGTTATTGCCTTCCCCTTTCCCCCATCGTACCTGTGAACCCCTCCTCAGCTCCATCACCTCTAACATGTGATGAGTCAATTTTTGTTTTGAGACGTCTCGAAAATCCCCTTTCCCCCATCGTACCTGTGAACCCCTCCTCAGCTCTTTCGCCTCTAACGAGCTCACAGGGGCCATCCCCCCTCAGATATCCGCGTTACAAGCCCTGCAGTACATGTGCGTCTTAAGTACTCGTTATAAGGCTCTTCATCCCCCCCCCCCCCCCCTTCCCCCACGCATCGTAACAATCATTGCACTGCCTGTAAATATCTACTAGTTTTGCACCGTGAAAATTTCTTTCCAATCTAAAACCCTACCATCCCCATCACCACTCCATGTCCGCCAGCTACCTCCTCCTTGTCATCCAATCCCTCTCTCCCAGCCCCTGTCCTCGCACGCACCCCTTTGAACCCCTTCAATACCGTTGTCTGCCCCTCACCACCCCTTTCTTCTCCGCGCCTCTCCTTTTTGCCGCATCTCCCTCCTGTCTCGGGCCTGCCCTTCTCCCTGCGGTTCTTACAGTGATCTACGCAACAATTTTCTGTCAGGAGTGATTCCCCCGCAGATTGGCAACAATTACAACCTCAACTGGCTGTGAGTGCCGCGCGAATCTGTGACTAAAACCCATGCACAGCAACTCAGACAATCCCTGAGGAGCTTCAAGAAAGCCAGCCTTCAGACAAGAGTGTTATCCCAGATCGACAACTGTTGCGACCTAGACTAGACTGGCTGCAAATGCTAGGGTTCACCTGTCCCCACCCCAACCATGGTTACGCGGTTACCACGGGCAGGTACCTGAGCAACAACCGACTGTCTGGATCCATCCCTGCTTCCATAGGCCGTCTCGATCGCCTGCGATACCTGTGAGTGGGCGAGCTTGTTGCTTCCTGGGCGCCTTTCTGGGTCCTCTTCAATGCATGTGAAATAAATAACCCCAGCTGGCTGGAGTTGCAACACAACACATCACAACACAACACAACACAATAAATAATCACATCACAACACAACAACCAGACAGGTGTTGAGGTAACTGGAAGGTAGGGGGGATGCTGGTGAGTCACTTTTGAGAATTCTCAAAAGTGATTTCCATATACCATCACAACAACCAGACAGGTGTCGAGGTAACTGGAAGGTAGGGGGGAAGCTGTTGTTACACCACCCTCCCCATCCCCATTTCCCCTACCTACCTTCCAGTTACCTCCACATGTGTTCCCAGTATACCGCTCCCCTTCTCCATGCGGCTTGCCTTGGCAGCATCTCGCCCCATCTCGCACCATCCCAGTCATACCATTCCCCATCGCATCACACCATTCCCCACCGCTCTCCACTCCCCACAGGTTCCTTGACGTGAACGTGCTCAGTGGGTCCCTTCCTGACTCTATCACTGCGCTTACTGCACTCGTCTACCTGTGAGTGTACCACTTAGAATTGTCCTCCACAATGGTTACCTTATAAGTTATAGCTGTCTACCTAGGCGCGCTTGTCTATCTGTGATCATACCCTTTATAAGCTTCCTCTGCACTCGTTTCTCGGATAATATCATGTCAATCATGCCTTAAGCTATTCTTCTGGCTGTTTCAGAGCACTCATCTACCTGTGAGTGTACCCCTTATTACCTCCTCCAAAATAGCTACTAGTGAAGTGCTTAAACACTTACTCTAAGCCATGCGTTGTGCACACAGCTCGTCTAAGCAGCATCCCTGTTTGCCTTTCCTCCCACCATTCCCCTTTCTCCCCCCTTTCTCCCCCCTTTCTCCCCCCTTTCTTCCCCCTTTCTCCCCCCAGCATCGCTAGTCACAACCTTCTCTCTGGCCCCCTTCCCACCAACATCGGCCAGCTTCCCAAACTTGCCTTCCTGTAAGCCTCCTTGGCTTGACTTGGCTTGACTTGACTCACTTGACTTGACTTTTGGGTCGACTCAAACCCCACCAACATCGGCCAGCTTCCCAAACTTGCTTTCCTGTAAGCCTCCCTGCTCCTTACCTCTCGCCTTCCAGCGACACTGCTTCGCCGCGGTTCCCACAACCTCTCCTCCCTACCCCTCTCCCCCCAGCCCCTCTTTTCCCCTCTCTCTTTAACCCCCTCTCGTCTTTATCCCCCTGTACCCCACTCTCTATGTTAACCACCCTTGCCCACAGGTCTATCAGCAACAACTCCCTGTCAGGCCCCCTCCCGCCGTCCATGAGCCAGCTCGATCACCTGCAGATCCTGTCAGTCAGTGCTGGAGGTGGGGGGGGGGGGTGGTGGG